TATTTTTTTGCTTTTTGACATACCCTCAATTTGTAGTTACTTTCAATTTTTATCCTATAAAATTTTGCCATAATTGAAAGTGAAAACAAAATTACAATTACTTTTAAACTTTAAAATGAAAGTGGAAGTCTTTTTTATTACAAAACATATGGGGTGGGTATATGTCAATTATTATTGAATTATGCTCGCTTTGACTTTAGTCAAARTTGAAATGTATAGATTTATCCATATTTTTGTTACAAACATTAAAATAGGACTTAATCTAAATCAAACAAAAAAAACCATGTGCATTTAATAATTAAAATATTAGCAATACATCAACAAACATTTAAAATTRTAAAGATAAATATCTTAACTTCCAAGAGTTTTGATTAGTTACCCATTACAAGGGGATGCTTTTATGACAACAAAAAAATAAGAGAAAAAAAATTCATATTTGAGTTTTTTTTTTAATAAATTTTTTGAAGTATATTATATAATTCCTCTATCAACACTTTTACTTGTTACAAGCAGGAAAAAAAAATATAATTCCTCTATCAACACTTTTACTTGTTACAAGCAGGAAAAAAAAATGAAATGAGTTATTATAATTTAACTGGTCAAGATATATATTTCACAGCAAAAAGACATGAAATTTAAATCTTCATCCCACATCTTATTGTATTAAGAAAAAAGACAAAAGAGACTCAAAAGTTTGACGTTCAAATCTCCACTTTCTCATATTTTAAAACTTTTTTATTTAAGAGGAACAGGAAACTACACATTTCAATTTTCACAGATTAACAAAAAAGATTGAACTAAAAGTCGGGAGAAAAAAACCTTAAAAATAATAAAGTGGACAACTTTTTGTATGTATTTATCTTTAAAGTCGATGATTTAGACTTGACTATATATAATATATAGAAAAAAAAATTGTCAAAGAAAAATAATTCACTTTTACAATATTTACRGTACATAGTGGTATGCACTGTATAAGACCATAACTCAATAACCATTCCCTTAAAGATTTTTTTTTTTTTAATGAAGAACCTAAACTAAAAAATTACTCATATTTTTTAAAAGAAAGAACAATTGTTTTAATAAAGAATAGATTCAAAGAGTGCATCCCAAGTCGGGAATGAGAGAGAAAGTGAAGAAATTAAAATAAAGGTTCCTTAGAGGTTACAAAATTGATGGGTAAGAGAGAGAGTGATGTGGAAGGAAGAATTATTGATGGTTGATGAAAAATAAAAAGTATTTATCAAGTTATGAGAGGAGAGAGAGAGAGGCCCATCATATCAACTAGGCCCAAAAACTTTTTTTTTTTTTTTTAATTTTTGGTTGTGCTGTCACCTTTATTAACCTTCCTCAATTATATTAAACCATAGGCCAATTATTAACAAGGTAATAAAAGTCTCATTTAACTCATTCTCTTATTTTTTTTTCCTCAAAAAAAAAAAAAAAAACTCATTTTATTATTTGTCCAATAACCTCTTTTCTATTTCTGAACAAACAAAGGCCTTTTCCTTTATTTTGAAAATCAACCAAAAGGCAAATGATGAATTGAGTAGGAATAAGAAAACATACCAACCTTAATTACCATTTTGTTTTCATGGGTTAAATTGTCGATTCAATGTAGTCTAACCAACAAATAAATTAATAACACAATAATGTACCAACTTAAGTATACTCGATAATATTCCTAGTCTAAAGGTCGTAGAACCACCTTTTCTTTTAATTATATATGTTAGGGGTGAAATGGAGAGCGACGCGTGTACCATCATGACGAAGTCATATAGCTTAGGTTGGAGCTCTAGTTCTGTCAARCTGAGGAGGAAATGTCATGAAACGTACAAGAGCAAGTCGGCTTGGACCCTACCTCGAGCAGAGTTTGCTCGACACGTATCCACTGATATTCTGCGGAAGGGCGATTTTGCTATCAGGATACCTATTGTTGGCAAAATGTCCTAGTGCTGACGAGTATGGTCTTTGATCTCGAGGCTCATCTCTCCAAATCTTATTCCTATATAAAGATCAAATCCTTATTAAAGGTGGGTAATTTCCATCATTAGATTTCTAGCTCGCTACTAATGTCCTCCTATCTGAGTTCTAACTTAAGATTCACATTGCATTTGGCCGAGCACCACTTTGGATACTAGGTTTTAATTCGTAGGTACCACTTTAGATGAGCGAGGTTCCTCAGCCAAACTTTTGATCTAGAATCCAGCAACAACGTATAACCATTAGCATTTTTTTAGAAAGGTCATTAGCATGTAATTGTTAAAAGGGTGAGTTAATAGTTACTTTATTATTCTTTTTCTATTTTTTATAGAAATAAATTGGTTTACTTGGGGCTTATCTTTCAACTCATTGTTTTAAATATATATTTTAAATCGTAATTACTTTTAAAAAAATTGTATGATTTCCACAAATGGCTAAATTTTAAAAAATATTTGTGAAAAGTATAGTATAGGACAAAGAATATACTAATAAGACAATGTCGTTTATCCATTCTAGAACTGTAATTAAGTATAAAAATATTAATATTTACTCATAAACTAAAATATCGGAGGGTCGAATGCTCACCCGAGATAGTGTTGAATTAAAAAGAAAAAAGATCATTAACATTTTTTAAGAGTTATAAATTTTTTAGTTAAAAATAATATGTACCTTATCCTATTGAACTATGCTTTTAGTTGGGCATGTATTAATGCACCTCTAATATTTTTAATTATATATTAAAAATTTACGAAAGTATATATTTTTAATTTTTTTTATTATTAATTTAATTATTTATGATTATTTTTGATTCAAGATTGTGAGGTGGGGAGGTATTAAGGTTCCTTATCCACCTAGATTTGCATTTGTGAATTAATTTTAAGAACTCAATTATTAATTACTTACCACATCTAAAAGTAAGAAAGGTACGACATATCAAAACTTTTTATTTTTCACATTTAAATATATACATTAAAAATACCATCGGTTTTAGAGAAATAGTGTCAAAGGTACGCTTGAATATCCAGCACCATCCTTGTATGAATATGAATATTCTGACGGAGAAAATATATATACCCATTGGTCTTTTATTTGAGGCAGTCCGATATAAAATTTATAAAATCGCGAACGATGTTGAATTAGCTAGATTTAGACCCTATTCCTATAGTTGGGGCCTCGTCGTCAATAACTTCAATCCATTTCCTTTACTTTTTGGTAGGGATACTTTTAAATAATACACATTGAATTTTGATCCTTTTAAATGATACTCCATACTAATTCAGTGATTAGTCATCTTTCATAATCGTAATTTTCATATGCACATAAAGTAATTGTAAAGTTATACCATTAATAATATGCTAACATAATGATTGAAAAGTAGTCCTAATTAAATTATTGAAAAAAATTAGAAAAATAAAAGAAATCTTAACTTAAAGAGTACTATTGGTAATGTGATGTACGACCCATTAAAAACATGTCACATGATTATAAATTTAAACAAAGAAAAAGAGAGAATATATTAAAATAATCTTGCACCGACATATATCTCATTTTAACTGATTTACTGAAAAAACGTGTGATCTGCAATTACTTTTCACGCTTTATAAGAAAAGGTATTAAAGAAAATTTATGTTGTTTCGACGGTGGCAAAAATATCATTCACACACTAATGAAGATTTTATTTATTGAACCATACTTAAGTATTTATTTTTATTTTTTTAACATAATATGTAGGAAGGAGAAGATTCAATCTCATGATGAGGGCCAGATGTCAATTATCGCTAGACGTAGATGTTGAAAGTAAAAAATTTGACCAATTTTTATCTTTTTCTTTTAATACGATTTCTCATGTGTCAAAAATTTAATAAGGGAAAGAGTGCTAATAAACAAACGCTTTGTTTTTATTATTTTTTTTTTTTAGGTTTAATCCTTCCACCTCTCACTCTAAAAATCAATCCATTTCCTAATATTCACTTAACATATGTAAAAACTACAATTTTAAGAGCCATTCTTTAAGAATTTTTATAATCTTAAAATTTAATCTTATTTCATCACAATTTTTTCACCTTTTTAAAAATATATTTAAATCTTTAACCAATTTTTAAAAATAGTGCTTTTTAATTTTCAAAATTTCACATAGATAGGAAATAGGTAGATAGGAAAATAACAATAATATGTTTCTTAACCTAATTTTGAAAAATAAAAATAGAAAACAAAATAACTCTCAAAGATATTGGAGGATCTTCAATCGCAGACAATAATATATTTTTAAGTTTTGTTTTAACTAAAAATTGACCACAAAGCAGTTCAATCTAAACACAAACAGTATGTTATTGAATTCTTATGAAACAGAGAATTAGCACTCCAATGTCTAAATTAGCTCTCAATCGTAGTTATCAAATCCGAATTAATAATCGAATTTGCACGTACCTCCTGTTACCATTACCTTTGGTATCTATAAGGACGAAAGAGGCAGCAGTTGCTACCGTTCGGAGATCACACACACGTTGCCATCATTGTCGGATCCTAGTCCTAGAATCTGCTTATTGAATATTAGTGGTGCAGTTGAACGTTTTTCATCTAAGACATTGAGTGTTGTTCGGCTAACCAGACTTTAGTTCGACCATTTAACTTGCAGTTTAGAAGCACATAATTATGCTTCTTTGAGTGACGACACGTGTCAAGTTCGAAATTCAGTTTAATTTTAAAAGGAAGAATACGCCTCTCTCTAGTACTGACAACCCATTCAGTGCTCACAATTTGACAAATAAGAAAGAAAAATGCAAAAACAAAACCAAAAGTTGAATAATAATAATACGTCAATATAGAGATAAACAAAACGACTCTAGAGTAAAATTTAGAATAATCAGTCACATTGTTTGTTTTAGTTGAGATGGAGGACGAGAGCGGTGGGGAAGAAATGGGGTGGGGCCCATGAGTAAGCAGAGGAGAGAGAGAGATTGAAGACTTCAACATCAAGCCAGAGAGAGAAGAGAGTGAGGTAAAGGGTAAAAATGGGAAAAGACAGCTAGCAATGAAGGACTACCCTCACCTACCATTGCCATTACATCTCTCTCTCTCTTCCATCCATACATAATTCTCTCCTCCATCCCTTCTCTCTTCTCTGCAACTTTTCCCTCTCTAATGGAGCTTCTCTCAACAACAACAATCTCTTAATTCCCTTGTTATATTCCATTTGCCAGGTGGGTTTTCCTTCAATTTTACTGGGTCTTCTTCATCCTTGCATTTCAACTTCCTTTTTGAGGCTTTATGGGGGAATTTAATGAAAATATGGGCGTTTTTCAGTTTCATGGAAAAGTATATATCACAACAACAATGCAATGGCAGTTTTTAGAATTGCAAAATTTAGGGTTTTCTTTTTGCTTTTGGGTGTATTGTATTGGAAGCAACTTCAAATTCCCAACTTCAACCGACAAAATTAATTGCATTTACAGTAACCCCAATTCCTTTTTTCCTACTGCATTTTCTCCAGAAACTGAAAAACCTCTCATTTTTGGCTTATTAACGCATTACAAATTGAAACATAGCTCACTTCTCCACCCCCTTTTTTGCAGGTTCTCAAGCTCTGATTTCCCAAGAAAATTTTCAACTTAGATTAAAAGGTTTGTTCTCACTTCTCAATCTCAACTTAGATTCAAAAGAAAAAGGAAAAAAAAAACCCCCCATTTTCTTAATTTTATCTCTGGGCTGGAAAATTTTGTATTTTACACGTATTTGGGGTAGCCAAAGTTGGGAAAGGTTCGATTTTTTTTCTAATTTTGGAGTACGGAATGCGAAAAAGGAAATGGAATTATAACGTATATAATTTTGCTAAAATACGCCACGCGCTTTTTATTTAACATTTTGCACACTTGCCAAACCAGGCCTTGACCTTTAACCTTAAGCCTCATCTTCTTTACTTTTATTTTTGTCGTCTTCAATTTCAATTTCATTTCATTTCATTTTTCCTGCTCCTCTTTCTCAGGATTTTATTTTATTTTTTCCCACAATATGATCGGAAATAGCTTCGCCGACGAGATAGACTGCGGCAGCTTCTTCGACCACATCGACGACCTCCTCGATTTTCCGGTCGAGGATGTCGACGCCGGCTTGCCGCCGGCGAAGGGCGGCGACTCGGCCAACTCGTTCCCCACCATTTGGCCGACTCACTCCGAGTCACTCCCCGTTTCCGACTCGGTCTTCTCCGCCAATAGCAACTCCGACTTGTCGGCTGAGCTCTCTGTGCCGGTTAGTATTCGCTCTCGCTTTCTTCTCACACGTGTGAAGGTTTCGTGTCTGCAGAGTATCGTTTTTCGCTCACCCTCGGGGCACGTTACCAAACCCCTCCTTGGCCCGGCGTCGACTCGACCCGACCCGGTCCAAACATATTTGTTTAATAATTAATTGAATGTAAATATATTCAATTTTTAGGGAATTTTTTTAAAATTTTTTAGCTTTTTAAATAATTTTAGATTATGAATGTCGCTCAAATTATGAAATAAAATTTACGCGGGCCATTGATTTTGGAGGCATTGGATTTATTTTCGGTGGATTTTGCCACTTTTTTTTAATGAATGAAATGAATTTAGCCGATGACGTCATTAGAATGGAATTAGTGTAAGAAATCGACAAGATTATGTTGACATGATTTGGTTGTCCACCTGGCAGTCCACGTGGGGCCAGTTTTCTGGTGCTGCTTTGTCATTTTACCCTTGATTGTAGGCGCAACTACACACATGGAAATTCATTAATTTTTTTTAAAATAAGATTTTTCTATTCGTTTAAATTTCAAATCCCCTGTCTGTAAGGGCATTTTAGTCATTCCGTAGAGTCTTCTCGGGATCTGTTCATTAAAATATGAATATTGATAAGGTAAATCTCTGGAAAATATTTTATTCTTAAATTATCACTATTTCTACCCATTGACATAATAACATAATATATTTTTAAAATATTATCATGCACATGACATTTGAGAAGTGGCCTTGTTTCTCAAATTGCATTTTGTTGGGTTTTTTTTACGTTTTAATTTAATTGATAAAGTTGAGTTGATATGAACATTTAAATCTGTCTACTTCACTTGTAAAACTTTGTTATTTTTTGTTTCCCCTAAAAAATTAAAATTTATGAGTAAAATTTTTGGTTT